TAAGTACATAATTACAGTCATGATTTTACTCACGAACACGTGCCTCGTACTTCTTCGCCACTTTTTTCCTTTATTTTTCTTTTACTGTCCTCCTCCTACCTGCCCCTTTTCACTCCTGGGCTTTTCTTACCGGAAGGGAAGCCACAGCCAGAGGAAAAAACGAACATAGTACTTCCACTAGTTAATTTAATCGATAACGAAGTGAAAAATAATGTCTCCCGTTATTTTAATAGACTTGTTAAGGAATCACGTTATTCCATCGCTCGAACTGCGTCGCTTGTATTAAGTGAACATACTCGCTGGCGATCGGCCACGGCTACCATTATGCATTAGGACAAACACGTTTGAAATAAAACTGACAATCTGCATAAAATTTTCTGGATTATTTCCAATATCTGTTTATGGTCTGAAAATGTACTATTTGTAATCCAAAATTTACATTCACGAATGGTAAATGATTTTTAAAGATCAACGTTTGCGGCGATTGCTTTCGCAACGACAATTATTATTCACGAGAATTCGGCAATATCGAGCATGCCAACGCTGTAACAGACAGGAGAAGAGACGAGGTCTGGTATTGTCACCGTTGCATTCATTGCGGGCAAGTTGGTCGCTTGCCTGATACATAATAGTTGAACCATTGTGTCATTTGATTGCATAATTCTAGTTAGACAACGAGCGACCTGTGTAACGTGCACGCGCAGCCGCGTATACTTCGCTACCATCAATTTAATATCAATTCATTACGACTAGATCCCGGCTGGATGGGACTTCACGTTCCAGATTTTGATCGATATTCCTGTAACATTAACGCCCTCGTATTATAAACGTTCGCTGCATTGTCTTTCGCGTACCTATTGTACATCGTTTCCTTTTCAACGCGAAAATATACGAGTTAACACGAGATTCTTCTGTTTTCCTTTTTCCTCCTCGACCGTATAAAACAGTGAAAGGAAAGCCATCATTTATTTCTAAAGTGCTTTTAAAACGATTCCGTTATTATTCGAGTATGCTCGTTTCATATTTAATGATACATTCTATTTAATTCAATACCAGCAGCGCAGTGGCAAAATGAAAATTCTTGCGTTGGAAAAATAAAAAAATCCTTAATTTCAGAATATAAAATTTACATGGAGAATGGAGCGACGAGGTATGAATTTCGATGGGCGAATTTCTCTAAAACTGCGCTCAACTTTACGCGGTGCGTCGCAGCGCAAGTGAAACCGTTCTATCTTTCTCGTTACAACGTTTCTATCTTCTACCATCGACGTGTGTTTTCGTATTAAAATGCAGATCGACGTACCCTATGTTCGAATACAACCGCATTTTTTTTGTTCGAGAATTTTCTCGAAAATGGTTTGGTAATTCGCGCGCGCTCCAAAGTGCGCGGGTACTTTCAAATTTTCCCATTACAATGCAGATCAATCGCGCTCTCCGGACCTCCATAGTTCTCTGGCCGCCTCTCTGAAAACGATTTTTACAGGATTGTCGAAATTTCAATGCATACTGGCCGATTCCATGCCGCTATAGCGATCCGGTAATTTCCTTCGATTTGTCGTCGAAAGAATGGACGCTGTTGGCGCAAACAGTCGGTCAATTTCGCCGAACATTCAAGTTGTTATAACGGAAAAAATCGAAGAATCTTTTATTCTCGGTCAATTTCTACGAAGAATCCAGCGCGGCAATTTTCAAATTACTACCATTAAATCCGTATACGTCAGAGCAGAGTGTAAACTATGGAAACAGTTTGTAACACGTTATATTTCTCCTCGAACCAACTGCCATCTAACTCTCAGATCACGAAGCGGCGGGACAAGAAACAGCACACGTTCTTCGATTATTCCGATTTCGTGATGGGATTCTTGGGTGTAACTCGAGATTCAGAGCTATCGAAGATGTATCGTCAGTGGGCGTGATATGAGGGCAAGAAGCAAGAGAACCAGAGCTATTGGAGCGACATTACAGATGCAGTGGATGTTACTGATCGGATTGCCGTGTGCTCGCGCGCTCTCGTGTTTACACACCTTCGGTCATGCTCATTTCCATATCGGAATAGGTGCATATTACTCTGCGTAACCACAACTCTGTGCACTCGCTTCTGTGGCCAACCACCCTTGCTTTGTGTTTCTCATTTTCGTTCTCCATTTTTCCGGTTTTTGTGCGCTGTCTTACTTCCATCTTTCCCTTTGTACTGCTCTAGGACTTTAGTTTTTCTTATCATTTACTGTCTCTTCTTTATCATCGTTTCTTATTCTCCGAGTTCTTTGTTGCCCCTTTTCCATTACTTTCCTGGTGCTTCCATAACCAGTCCAGAAGTTCGAGTTGAAATGCAAGATGGAAATTCATACGATCGAACGGATGCCGTTTCTCGTTTTTCTCTTTCTTTCTCTCTCTTTTTTTCTTTTTTCTTTTTTTGTAGCTTTGTGCGCTTCTGAGGATGCTCGATCGGAATTACAGAATAATCGGAGCGAAATTTCTCGCAACATCGGACTAGAGTTGAAGCAAGACTCGCAGTATTGAAAATTGCAAGTTTCAAGAGGACATTTGCTGCTATTCCGCGAAGCATTCTGCGTCGGAAGAAATTTTTGTCAAGCTGTTTTAAACACAGCTGGTAGAAAAAATGCCCGTGATTAGTCACCGTAGCTTTCCTTCTCTCGGTTTCCTTAACATTTAGTGCCTGCATTTTATCGTTACTTCTCGTTGCCTAGTTCCTTTGTTTCTGCCTTCCAGATATTTCCGTTGGTTTCTTAACCAGCCGTATATTTCAATCAAAAAATGCGAGATACAAAAGTGGATATTGGAACAATCGACATAGAAAAAAGTAACGATGTTCGTCCATTTTCGGACTCATCTTCTCTTTTTATTTTTGTCACGGATGGATTGGGCTAAAAAAAATGTACGAGCTGGTCGGTAGTTCCTGAATTTTTTCCGGAAATTACGTGATCCGCTCGCAGTTAATCAAACGAGACCGTGAAAAAAACGCGGGGGTGGAAGGTAAACGAATTTATTACGAGAGTGAAAAAAAATATTGAATGAAAGGATCGAAGCACGGATAGGACGGTTGTTCAATCGGCGAATCGACGCTCTCCGTCCACGGGACGAACGAACTGTCGAATTGTCATTTTGCCAAACGGATAAATTGCGAGAACAGATATTTCATCGAACAAATTGCTGAATATGTTGTGTCGGCAATAAGCGAGCTCACCGGTACGTATGCCTCTTTCTCTCTCTTCGTATTAAACGCAATGAATGGATTTATTAAACTTTTGTATCCTTTGGAGCGGTGCATTGCGTTGGCGTTGACTTGAAATTCTCAAAGCCACCGCAACGATCATGATTTCGATAAAAAAAAAAGACAAAATAGTGAAAAGAAGAGGTAGGAGAGAAATGTTTCATGAAATCGGATTCATTTCGACGCGTTTAACCCTCGACGTGTGTATTTTCGGCGATTTTCCATCCTTTCTTTCATGGTTTCGTTATTTTCCAATGGAAAATCGAAGAATTGAAAGATGTAACGTTGGCGCGTAAAACCGAAGAATGCAAATTGCTTCTTTGTTTTATGCAGAAGCGAAATTATCTCTGAGTTTCTAGGAGTTTAAAACAATTTCTAAAAATAAAATGAATCGATTGAACCCACTTTTAGTTGCCTCACTGACGGCAGTTTTATTTGTACGCAAATTTTTGTAATAACACGAATCGTTTTGTTTCAATTCGTTAATATTCGAAAATATTCGTTAATATCACTTGCTACTTTTAAAACATTTAAATCAGCGTCGATTATCGAGTGGAATATAGAAAAAAAAATATTCTCGCTGCGAAGTGTATTAACGCTATTACAATTCGATATATTTGTATAACATGGACAGAAACGTATCGAGTAATATCGAGTTTTAATTTTAATTCCATATCCGAATTCAAAGAAGCCCATGTGCTGAGGCACTCGGGAAAATTAAAACAGATCCTTGAGCGACGAAACCCTGGTGGTTAATAGAAAAATTCCTGAGGGAAACGTTAAAACGTTTAAAATCGGGCTGATGAGGATTTCAATATGAAAGGAATTCCGAAACAAATATCGGACAAACGTTAAATAAAAATCAGCGGGCGCTTGATAAAATTCGCTCGATTAATTCACACGGGGAGCGGGGCGAAATGTAATTGTTGCGAATACGTTTTAATTTATGAATGAAAACGTGGTCGCCCGGGGCGTTGCCGGTGTAAAACCACCGCGCGAAACAACAGGGAACTGGCGAAAGGCGAATAGGTTTCCGATTTTGTGCGTCATTAAAATTTCATTCGGGCCGACTCAAAGGTATCAGTGTTTGCCAGTTATATACATCTCGTACGGCGCATACGTACGTAGATACGTGCACACGGTCGCACGTTACCAGCCAAAGAACCCATAGTAGTCGCATATTTATCCAGGGAGGAGAGAACGAGCAGGTGTATAACACTGGACACCTTTTGATTGGTAAACATGCATATTTTATCCGGCCTCGCAATCGGATAACGTGTTGTTCGTATCAATTATTCTCCAAAACTCAACGCTACCACCTAATGGGGAACAGAGTTTTAATTGAAACGTAATCCCAATTAAAATGAGTTCACGATACTCTGCGCACGAATACGCGTAATCGTGTTAACGAAATGAAATGTCCACTCTGGCGCAAGATATCGGGGTGGTACTGTTCGCGGAAAAAGGTATGGCAAGAGCTTTTTAGTCGATAAGTTTCAACCTATTTCCTACGATAGATTTTATTTTCCTTCCCTTGCTCGTTTCTTCTATTTTCTCTCTTTCTCTCTTTTTCTTCCTCTTTCTTCTTTTAATATCCCTTTGCGAGCAAAGCGAAACGCTCCATGTTAAAATAGAATATTGTTTCCCTTTCTGATGGAGGAAAATTCTAGGAATGGTATTTTTATTAAAGGATATCGTGAATGTTATTCAATACTAGGAATTCATCCCGGTTTCACGTAAAATCGAAGAAACATCAGGACAAAGTGTATTCCTCAATGTATTTGTTCCGTTTATTTTTTATTCATAACGACTTACATCTCTATGCTCTTCAAATATACAGTCTTATATCTGGCATGATTCTCGTACCGATAGATATTTACAACAACGTCTCACAAAACGTCACGTAACAACATCATACATACCCTTTTTTTTGTAAATATAACATTTCTTTATAAATGACTTTTTTTCTAATAGGACTCGTGTGCCCTCTCGTAACAATCACGTTCTCCGCAACGATCGTCACACGAAGGCAACATTCTGCTTAAAACACGCCCTTCATTTTTTCACTTCCCGATTACGTTTTTCCCTTTCGATTACCTGCGTAGAAAAAGCTCTGACCGCTGTCTGTTACGATAATTTTCATGTGTTAACTTGTGTATGTACGTTAAAAAATGCTCCCGCCGTTAAGAAGTAACCTTAGAAAACAAATCGAGAACGCCTGTTATATTGTCGGATCAACGATACATCCGGAAAGTTGTTACAAACAAAATAAACCGAATTTATTACGAACCGAATACTGGGAATCAACGTGAACCACGCGATATTCCGCCCTTCGAAAACGACCATTCGCAAGAAACAACGAACAAACGATATTATATCATCGATTCCTTACCAGCTACCTACGTTCTAGATAGTTTTTATTCTTGTTTGTTTCCCTAACGCATCAAAATGTCTCGCTAAAGCACCTTTTACGAATACTTTCTATTCCTCACAGGCTTCTGAAACGGATCATCGGATTCGTTTCACTGGATTTGTTTGCTCGTCAGCGGAAGAACATGACGACGGCGATTCCTCGTCTTCGTTCACGTTGGCCATGAAAAATATTACGTTGTAACATCGTAGACAACGCTAATTCGTACTTACGATTACGATTTCTTTACGCAGGAGAAAAGGTTTCTTCTTATGCATCGTTTAATCGAGTGCAAAGTTATCGCATAAGCTTCGCGTGCCATGATTCGCATGTTTTCTCGTAGATCGTGGTAACTGTGAATTATCTCGAGAATTATCTCTTCTTCGTGATAAAATTAGCGAATTGTATCTAGAAGCTAGTTTATAATACGCGTAGAATTTTATCTACAAGCGTGACTTTTTTTTCTTAGAGTAATCGACGTAGATAAAAAGAACTATAACCGATGTCACACGACGTCGAAAAGAATTTCTGGTTTTCTTGACGCGCAGATATTTTCTCTTTTTTTCTTTTTCTGTTTGTCCAAGTTCTCGACACGTCGTTGTAAATTAGCCGAAACTTGACGCGGGTTGATCGCAGAGGCACATTAACGCATCCAGCTACTTCGGAAAATTTTATCAACGATCTTCGCTTCTGCTTCTAGTTAACCGTCGAGCTTATGTTTCTTCCGGCTCAATTGTTGAGTATAAAAATCTGCACGCGTCAGATTGCGAATTGACGATTCTACCTGCCATCAATGATTAAATTGGACGTAATGGTCGACAGACTGTCATCTATATCGCTATGCAAGCCGATGAAAATAAATTGCATGTTATCAGCCTATGTACATTTTTTCCGTGGTGTTACTTCGTTAACGCATGTTCCAGAATTCTGAGATTAGATCTTTTATTTCTTGTCTGTCAGATTACCTTCGTGGCAATTTTGAAATTTCTGATTATCGACATGAACGACAGTTCAAATTACAATAGAATGAAACCTGTATTTATAAAATATCGATTGAAGGTGTTATAGAGGTTCGCGTTACGATCCTCTATAGGAGATATATAATTATATAAAAGATACTATAGTTTAAAAGATATATATGTATATATATAATATATATTATAAAAGTAACTGAATAATATTCAATTGAAAGATTTTTCTTTAAACTTGTAGACCATTTTAAATTTAAATTTATTTGAAACAATGGATTGCCTCCCTTTCAGTCGTACCGGTAACAAAGAATATGCAAAAAGAACGATCGTTCTCGCGACAAGCGTAGCTCATTGTCAGCTAAGCTCGTTCAGTGACGGCGACGATACGAAGATTTATCTCATATTAGAAACATCTAAAAATACTACTTCTTTTATTTTATATAAAAAGATTTAGAACGACTCTCAAGCTCCACACAACCCCATTCTCTTTCCCTTCCCAACCTCTTTTTGTTTAATAATATACAATTAACGTCTATGTAGTTATGTACAATTTGTTTTTTCTGCCTTACTGCCTCTTTTGTGTCTCTGGCCTCGAATAATGGTATTTACTCGGTCTTTACTTAAACGATACGCCCACTGCACGTCTAGGTTTTGCGCGAAACGTACGGATAAATTAAGCTCTATATCGCTGCTCCGTCGTAACAACTTCTATAATTTTATACAATCTATGTGGTTGTATTATATATCGTATCTGTTCGAAGGAAATTTCACGTTACCACGGTCTCGCGATCAGTGTCATGATTTACGATCGCATGCGAGATTACCGTAGTAAAGTGAATCGCGTTCGAAGGAATGGAAGGCATTTTGTAACATTTTCCTCGTCCTTTTTCCTTTTATTTTCCCCTTTCTTCCACTAGTAAGCTTCGTGCGCTTCCACAGACTATTTAGCATAAATTTAGTGAATAATCGAGACGCGATAACGAGGTTTTTCCTGCGTGATTGGAGGGAGATTGAAGGCATTGCATTAGAAATCGCACGAGTACGTTTCGCCAAGGATTTGTACGCTATTTTCACAAGCTTCTCTTCTTTTCTCTTCACCTTATATTTTTTCTTCTATTTGTATTTTTACATCGAAGAGATTTTTGTGTGTTAAGCTGTATGAAGCAGAGCTCGTAGAAAAAAAAATGATTTTTAATTACTCAACGTTCGTAGACTATAAACGTTTGAGGAAACGAGTTAATGATTAACATTAAAGAGTAAGTATGCGATAAATCGTGAAACTCGTGTTCAACGTTCATTTCGTTGAGCGATATCCTCGAAGTTGTGCCTCTTCTTCTGACACGTCCCTCTATACACCGTCGTAGATAATTTTATATAAATCCATATTCTTATGAATATGGTTAGAGGAACGCATGCTTAAGCAGAGATTTGTTACATCCATCAAATATTAAAACGGATACTGTGTATTCTATGCATTTTTGTATCTTTAAATTTCCCAAGCATCTGCACAAATAGAATCCACAGGGAATGTATTAATAACCGACACAATATTAGACAAGAAACGCCAACTTAGAACAAACAATCGTTTGTCGTGATCATAGTACGTTCGTGTCAGATGAAGGCAGACTTCGCAATTTCTACGATCGATATCCGCACATAAACTTACATAACGTGTTACGCTGGTAACGATTAGTTTCAGCTGTTGGCAACATCAGGCACCACAAACGATAAGTTAGGCCCATTTTGGTAACATCGTAGTCACTGTCAATGCGAACATTCCCTTAACAAAGACAATTCATCTGATACATTTCGCAGAATCAACAACAAACAACCATTTAGAACAGATAAATCAACGCGATAAACCAGAAGCAGAATTTTTATCGTCCTACACTATGACCTTTTTAACTGTCCTGTATCAGAACCTTTGGGCGAATAGAGGCCCAATTTCAGCGTAAGTTCTTTCGGCTTCCTAGGAGCGTTTCTAACGGGAAAGGGACTGAACTGCGTTTTTGGACTGGTCACAGTGTTGAAATTATTATCAGCTCCTTTACTCGAGTGTCCTATGTTACCTAAGCTAAGAGATGATTTCTTGTAACTGCTGGAACTTCTATCGGGTAATTCTGCATATTTCCCAACATTCATCTTGCCAGGGAATTCCGGATGAGAAACCGGTCGTTTCGATTCGTCAGAGAGACCTGATGAAAGTTTCGAGGTGTAGTGATGATTGATAGTAGAAGGAAAGTGATCAGGAAACTGACGATTCGGTGATAGAGAATGATAATCTCGGTGTCTCGTCGGTAAATACGATCCTGTCTCTGTTCCAGGTTCTATAGGAGGTAACGTGCCTAAGTGTCTATCATAATCCGTCGTACTCTTGGTATGAGTGTACTCCTTAGGAGACAAAGCGTCGTATTTTCGACGAAGAAGGTCGGAAGATTCGCTGGGATAGTTCAGAAACGAGGTACCACCAGTATCCAAGATTCTTTCCTCCTTAGAAATATATTTCGTAGGCGTTAACGGTTCGGTATTTCCATTGCTGAAATAAGGAGACTTGCTCGGGGTAGTAATCGATCTACTTTCTGGCTGGAGAGACATGTAATCGGTGTTAACTTCTCTGACTGGATCATCGTCGTATCTGACACGAAACTCTAGCGATTCCTTCGTCATCATTGGACTCTTCAAATGTAGATCATACGTATTGATCGAGATCTCTGGTTTATTGTTAATGTACTCGAAAGCGGTATCCACCACAGGTTTCTCATACGTAGCTGACACAAATGGATTAGTGGAAACTTGTTTAGGTGACAACTTGGGCTTGAAGTCAAAGGTCTTGTAGGGATCGTAAGAAGTCTTCAGGGGTGAAGTGTCGTATTGAGCCGGCTTGGAAGTGTACCTCAATGGTGACACATCCTTGAAGGGCGACGTATTTGGAACGTACGGAATCGAGGACAATTCCTTCTGTGGAAGCTCCAGAGTCGGATCTGGTAACACCTGTGCGGAAGAGATCTTATCGAGTTTCTCCAATTCTCTGTAGATGTCTATGTCGCTTTTAGGTGATGAGTCGTCCACGTGATACTTCGGTACGGCGTATGCCGTATATTTCGGAAACTTGTCAACGAGAATGGATGGTTCCTGCGTCGAGCCTAAGTCGCTTCTCGTGTCAATGGAGTCATTGGATGATTTATAGGAAAATACGTTAGTTGAAATACTGGACAGATCCAGTCCTTCGATCTCGCTAATATTCTGGCTGGATGGTCCTTTGTCCAAACTCACCATACTAGCCGGAGAATGATCGTCGTAGTTTGCCAATAATTTCGACAATTCCTCGTTTATCTTACGATCTATTAGAGCTTCTCTCGTGTTCAAGTATTCGTGGGATATCACCTCGTCCACGTCGAAGTGGTCCATCTGCTCCGTCTCGTCGATCAGAGAAAGCTTCGATAATTCCTCGTTAATCTTTGCATCAAACTCGGACACACTGGTAGCGGTCATGTTGTCGAAATCCTTGAAATTGATTCTCGCCAATTCCTCGTTAATCTCGTGTTCGTTTAATCCCATTTTCTCTAATATCGGACTAAAGATCTTCGAAATCTCCTCGTTTATAGGGCTAATGGTAATTTCTTTCGATATCTCCTCCAGGTCTGGCAGACGCTTTTTTGCCTGACACGCAAGAATCTTCTGAAGTATAGCGGAGTTTTCTTGAATGATCTTCAACGCCCTGTCGCTGTTCCTCCGCCCATTGTCACTCTTTTTACGAGGCTTCACCTTCGTCCACACGCCCAACTTCGACTCCCTGCCATCATCTGTGCCGTTACTCTTACCACAGGCCATGGTCTTCAATATGCTGTCGCTATTTTCGTCGATATTGATCTTCGGATGTACTACGTACGATTTTCTGCTTTCTCCGGTTATATTTATATCCGGTACCTCCAGACGATGTTTCGAAAAGTTCCTCGCTGAATCACTAAAGGTATCTTGCCTCCTGGCTTCTAAATTCTTCATATCCTCCCAAATATAACTGCTCTTCTTCGTCAACATCCCATTATCCGACGACCCATCGTTTGCTTTCGCCTCCAAGTGTTTAATATCTTCTAAAATGTCACTGGATCTCTTCTGCGCGATCGACGTTGAAAATTCATCGGTGGAAGCCGATGACTTCATATCAGCGTACCTTCTACTGTCCAAACTGCTTGAACTTCTTTCCAACAACTTCGATCTATCTCTATATCGATAGTTCAAATAATGTTTATCTAGCTTCTCCTGAGGCAAAGAAGGTACCACGTCTTTCTCCGATGACGGATCATCCCCTCCGTCATCAAAAATATCCTTATCCTTGCGATAGTAATCCGTACTCGTTGTTTGATAATACTTAACATCACTAACATTGATTCTTCTATCCGTCAAATTAATACTCGAATCTTCATTCCTCGTGATGAACTCTGGTCTGACGAATGTGTCACCTTTTCGTGCTATACCGTCTACATCTTTCATATCAGACGTCTTTATGGAGGAGTCAAATTTCGACTGATAACCTAGAAACTTGTTCGACTCCCTCGAACTGGTCGATTTCTGCTCAGGTGACGTTTCGTTGCTGTCCAAACTGGATCTTCTTCTAGAAGCACTGTACGGGGACGTCGGAGTTTTTTGATTCGGATTCGAGATCGGATAAAACGGCGAGGTAGCGCTGCTCAAGTCCATTGGCGAGCCTGATACGTCATCTTGGCCCCGTCTACTGAAATTCGAAGTATACTTTATGGAGTTGGCACTTATTGGCGATTGCAGGTCCGAACTGAACGACCTCTCGGAAGACTTTAATTTACTCGGGCTACACGATTCACTGGAGCTGCTCACGACTAGTTTTGGGCTGGCTTCTGATTTCTGCAACGAGTCCATGCTGATAGGTGTCGCCGAATTGGAAATCTCATACATTTTCTTCGCGTCGGTTTTCGTGCTGTCCCTCGTACTGTCTGAATCTGCAGAATGAAGAACCAAAGTCTTCGAGTCTGAGCTAACTGACGAACACAGGGATTTGTCCATAGGGAAATCTCGAGATTCTGATCTAACCGGCGTCCTTGGGCTAACTGTCAGACTCGATGGTTTCGAATCTGGTCCCATGGTTTCACCTGAACTGAATGATTTGTTGCTTTCCGGTGTTTTAGGACTCTTCACTAGGTCTGAATAAATTTTCGTTTGAGTCGTCTGTATTCTATCGTTATATGACGTGTTCTCTAACGTTTTATGTACAATTTCAGGCGTTTCAGGAGTTAATACAGTAGTATTATGCGTTGTATGTATACTGGGTGTCACTCTGCTTAATTTTTGATCAACTGTTACAGGTGAAATAGGAAGATGACCAACGTAGGCCTTGCCATAAAGCGTTCTTTCAGTATTCACTGTGTCTGCAGTGTCACTGGTTAAACTTCCTACTTTTGAAGTTTCATACGGTTTCAAGTCCAAAGATATTCTACTAGAGAAATCGAAGGATGTTTTATATCGGTCGGATCTAATTTCATTTTCTATCTCTACATCGAGGCTTGATTTATCTTTGATTCTATCGTATTTCTTGTCCAAGGATGCTGAATAATCCAAGTATATGTTTAAAGAATCCTGTTTCATAGTCGTAGTTATCTTGTCTTCAGTTTGGTCTTTCTTGATTGTCGCAACTTCGTTTCGAGGTATATCTACAATCTCGTTTGTTGTCTGTTTAGATCGATGCCTTTCGTGCACTAATACTTCATCTTCTTTCGAACTGATCTTACTGCCACTGAAACCTAGATAATCGTACTCGTTCAAGTCCAATAACGATTTTTTAATGATATTACTATCGGAAGTGTAATCTATAGATAGATCTGATATGGATTTCTCTTTTTTCGATTCTTTCGTCGATTGTTCTTCCGGCGATTCTTTGCTCTGCACGCTAAATTTTTGAGGAACCATGGAATTATTGTCATCCTCTGCTGATAATCGTCTTATTTGGTCGGTGATTTTAGCGATTGATATGTCACCAAGGTTATCCTCGGAGCTTTTCGAGTCCTTCGAATCTTCGGCGTTAATTGGTTCCATCTTCTCTTCGAGAAACGAACGATCGAGTGGCTTCTCGCGAATCGGTGATCCGGTGATTCGAGAGCTTTTCTCCTCATCCGTACTGACAACACAGGATTCGGATGCTGACGTCAGATCTTCGCTGTCAACGTCACTGAGACGGTCCGGTTCGTCGCACAATTCCGTCGATGTGCTGTCGCTATCACTGTCACCGTTACTCCGCTTTGGAGAAGCCAGCTCAGCTTCCGTGGATTGCATTGTTACAACGCTACATTCCACCGTTTCTGAAAGGTACATGAAGGTACATTGGCCCATTATATACACTTGACTACAATTTGATTATCATAAAGGACGAGATATTTTTGTGAATCCATTAAAGTTTCATAATAATTTTTATTTATCTGCCTCTTGTTGTTTCATTATAATATTAAATTAACACATACATGCTAAATCAGCGATGTAAATGCAAAGCATGTTATTTAATTTCGAGGATACTTCCCTTTCTATCGTAGGTAAAGCAGATACAAACTAACTGTTGGTAAGAATCGTTTACCAACTGATGATACATATGAATACAATCTGTAGTTTCCTGTATTACCATTTATCGGTGCTTCATTACTTTTAATCGATAAGTAAACTATTTCGTCAAATAATATATTTAAAAACTAGCAAGTGGTGAATTAGAAGAAACAGAAATTTACCTGCTATCTGCAAACAAATCTTATAAGAACCCTTTACGGAAGTATTGTTCGTGTTATTTGTACCTGGTAAATTCGAGGGTTTCTGCTTCGGTTTTTTGGTGTCTTTCCAGTGAAGCGTGACGCCTTGTCTGTCCCTTCGGTTTTGATTTAGCGTCGTAGGTCTTATCTTCGTCGTTGCAGCACCAGAAGGTAGGCTCAGGGGTCGATTCTTCCCACTCACGAGCGCACTTTTGCCCACTAAAAGATGATTCATGGCCTGAGAAGTAGGAGGTGGTACCATGGTCTGCCTTGCACATGCAGCTGCGCCAGGAAAAAAAAGTAACGTATGCATTCTTGTAGCCGTTCAATTTGCAACAGACATACTTCCATTGGTCTTATTCTACTGTCAAATGCCTTAATATATGCGAAACATTTATGTCAAGCACGCATCTCAAAAGCGATGGAGGAAACGAGATGATTTATCGTGCCTTAAACCTTAGCAAAATACATTTAATTCTATGATTAGAATCTGTAATTACCAGAAAGTATAATATGCGCTTGTCGTTGACGTTCGCGTAGCTTGGCGTACTGCTGTTTCAAAGTGGTAATGTCCAAAGCGAGCCGTTCTCGGTCGCTGCTGGGTGCCATTGCCTGCAGCGCTCCAATCGTTTGAGGTATACGATCTGCGAACATGTTTTTACGATGTGAAACAACCACAGCTAATATCCTAACGGTACAATGATTACAATGTTAACGTATTTTTATTTCGTACCTTTCTTCAATCGCTGTGCCATACTGAACATCGCAGCAGCCACGGCCAGCCTTTCATCCTCCTCCGTGTCGCTGTCCTCGTCGTCGCTCAATTTTCTTGCCCAAGGTGTGATATTGTATCTATGTTTCTCTCTTAGCCCCGTTACACCATGCAAAGATCCCATACTAACGATATTCTATCAAAGTGACACAATTATATCATTCGTCACGTATTCGATTTAATAATTCTTTCAATAATTCTATAAAGGGTTCTGGCAAACCTTTATGAGGTTATTAGTATCCGTGAACTCGAGCATCTCCCTTGTCAGCACTCCCATTATACTATAAAACTCGTCCGCCGATGTCACCGTCATAATACGACTGAAACCAAACAATATCACTCTATATGTAACTGAACAAACGAAGCTATAGAATTATAGATATTCAATCCGATTCTACTTACTCGGAAAGTCCTTCCCAGATGGCCAGTGCGGTTCTAAGCAATATCTCATCTCCTTCGAGAAATATGAGGTCCCATACGCGCAGGACAGCCTCTTGTGGCAAACAGTGACAGAAAAGAGTAAGGAACCATTGCATCGTGAACACATTCGTCAGAGGTGGCTCGTAACTGCTGCCTGAACAAATTTTTGTTGTTTTTTCGCAAATAAGATAAGCCAGTACAACGCCCCTGGGACCGATCTCGCAGTCCCTACAACTGAATTGAACAGAGAGTTACGATTGCACAACCAGTTTGGTTACCTGTCGCCTTGTCCTTAGCATCGTTCTGCAGAGCCTCCAGATGTTTCGAGAGCTTGGGCAGTCTGCCCCGGAGGAGATCTCGAAATACCGCCATGTCGACCGACAGGCCACGGAGATTGTCCGCGAAGTAACCCTCGGGCAGGACACCCTCTATCAAGTAGATCATCACCTTCACCGCGGCGGACTCGGCGCGATCCATTACTTGCAAAACGAGGGCGGCCAACACGTTCAGGCCCTGGCAATAGCCGACGGACTTGTTCCATCGGGCGAAACCAAGCAGAACTCGACGAAGCACTGCTTGATTGTCTCTGCCAGCTGCACCGCAAAACAGACTGCAGCCCGTTCTGTGTAGGTCCTAAAAAGTTCGTTCAAATACAGTGTGTATAATGGTGTACATGTTCGTGCAATATCACCTAAGCTTCGATATTATAAAATTCTAAAATTATGACTTATTAATATAACATAATCGTGAATAATTGACTATTCAAATATTTTCATGATCTTCGACGTTTCTATACATTTCTGATTTATATACATGTTCAGATTCGTTGCAAATTTTAGCAATATAATCACGACAATAATGTCGTATTACAGTGCTAATGAAATTTCAAATTTCAATATTGCGTAGTACATTCAGAAATAGCTTGTACAAGTGTTCAAACAGGGTTAGGTTTGATTTGGTCATTATTTCGTGAACCATTCATAATTATATTTATAATATGGAATACTTAATAAAATAAAATTTGTTAGAGTTTTCCAATAGCGATAATATTTATAACAGGCGGTGTATATAGGATTTTATACTTATGGAACTCTAACGGGACGAATTACGATTCCGATAGAAACCGAAGGAAAATGAAACGAGTTGGCTGGTGACTCGGCCAGATTCATTAAAGGTCAGTTTTTCTCGTCGCAAGCGAGTTAATTGGAAGGCTCATTGGCGACACTTAATTGCTCGGCGTCGAAGTGATTGATGATCGAAATTTAATTGCGCTTAATTATACGAAGAATGAGGGCGAATATAAGGAAGGAATCGTAGCAGTGGTGTCAAATTTTCGTGGACACGTGAAACGTGAATGGAAAACTGGTTTCGACTGTTTTCGTTCTGTAAAAGAAGATTATTTGGAAAGTATTTGGTTGGGACGTGGGAAAAGTAACGGAGAGTGAAAGCTATTTGGAAGTTGGGAAATATTTAAAGTGTGTGGTTTGAAACGTTGTTTGACGATAGAGATAAAAAAATATTAATAGCTATTTATACGACGAATGAATAATTCAGTAAACGAACGACGAACAAGTATTTATTAGTAGTCAGTTTGAAGTCCTATTAGTTAACAAGCAACGGAAACTTAGTTCTTCCTCTCTATCTAAATAAGCTTGTACCTAATAGCACTCGTTAATGATAAAACAAATAAAAAATGTAAGTCAATCAAAAATGTAAAAACAACGATATATACATGGAGAAAAATAAAAAGGTATGGATATATATTTGCATTTCAAATTTAGATATTGCTCTCGAAAAATCATGTCGCTCTCGTCATTACGACAGCCAGAGATGGTGAGCAATAAGTTCATAAGAACACCGATGTACATGAGCAACTGTTATAAAAAGTATGTACGTTCCGCAGCCTTACTTTAACGATTTGTATACCAAGCTCTTCATCGTCAGGATTGCTCCACTCGTTGAAGCAGATCTTTTCAGCCTGCTTCCAATCTACGCCGCGCTGCTCTAGATGACGTTCTGCCAGTGTCAGCCACAACTGTGAAATATTTAGAAAAAAAGAGGATAGAGAGAAATGAGGATGCATTCTATAGGACAATAAGCTGGTAGATGTTGGAATCTAGTCTGATACTCGCCTTCTTTCGAAATTCCGGCGGAATTCCTCCTGGTAACCTGGCAACCATTTTCATCGCGTCCAGCCATTGTATAAAACCACTTTCTCCTGGTTGCGGCGTCAGGCTAAATCTCATCTTCGTGTCTTCGACTGTAAATTCAATTTATGCTCGAGAAATATCTGGGGTTGATGAAGAAATTTGTGCAAACAGCAGTTCGACGTTGCTATGAATAAAATGAAATTGAAAAAAAGTGAAACGAAAAATATAGAGAAAAATACAAAGATATTCGAGTAACAATCCTCTAACTGAATATGGAACTTGTTAAACATTGAAGATCAAAAAGAAAAACGAGAGGATCGAGGATAGAGAGGACACAGGCACTCGTTAAATTGCTCGAGTAGTATAAATTGCGTTGAACAAACAGAAACGTTAATATCTGTAATTCGATCGAAATGTCAACTCCCATTCAGCTTGGTTTACGAACTTTTGCAATCAAACGTCAGATCTAACACAAGGCGACGCGCAGAACAAACGACGAAAGATGGACAGTTAAATCGGAATTGAATGCTTCGATCATCATGAAACCTCGAAGCATATTAATACATTTATCGGCCAGACGGCTTTATCGTCGTTAATGCTATTATTTAATTAGCCGTCGTGAATCTTCGAATCGGGTTCATGATACACTCTGCGTGGACGACTCCGTTGATATTCTTACGATTGATCCATTCGATTTTGTAAAACCTCAATTCAAAATTTTGAATTTTTGAAATTTGAACTTGAAAATTTATTTTTTAATAAATATATTAATGAACATATAATAGTATATTTATTTAACATATATTTAATTACTCCCTAAATGAATGTTTCCTTACTTTTACAGTTTCACACAAACATTTTTCTTTTCTTTTTAAGTATAAGTACGAAATATCATCTCAACCTATTACGAATTAAAATGAGGGGAACATGTTTACATTGAAATCTAATTTAGTTAAATACGAAATCATTAACTAAATAAATGTATTTCGCGTCAACAAGTTGAAATGGCCATATGTTCCATTATAAATTTTACAATCGCGCTCCGATAAATATAAAATCTATAACTCGTCTATCAGAATGTATTATGGATACAAATGTGAACTGATTTCCATTATCCCTTTGTTGCCCAAGGATAAATTCCGCAAATTCCGTAACTCGAATCACCCAGTACATGTAACCGAATTTCCTTTTGAACTGTAGGATTTTGTTTGAACGAAAAGTCCATTAATAGAGACTCGTTCGACTTGAAATAAAGTACGACGTGTGATCAACTTTTCGAGAAACTCGATTCTAACTTATTCAATCGTCAAGCGTTTCATGAATTTCTAGTAGTTTGTGGGAGTACATACTTTGCATCCTTGGAATTTATGTGCCTTAGAAGGAAATTCATAATCAGCGAAGCGCAACTTAAGATTTCTGTTGTGTACACAATTAAAAAGTATTCGAATTTACACAACGAAATAATATTTCCCGTTACTAATACAAGAGTAAAGACTCCTTCAAAAGCATCGTTGTTGACTCTTAGAACGACGGAGACAAAGTTACATTCCTCCGTTCCAAGAAGTTGCCAATGCAAGCATCGTATCAATCTCGGCAAACGTTTAAGTTACACAATAAATATTACCATAGTCGATCGTAAAGAATCGCCCAGGAGTCTGACTCTATCTATATTTAAAAATCCTATTTCGATCAGTGACGAACGAATCAAGCAGCAATTACGGCGCTTTCGAATCAAGTCGAAAAATGAAATCACATCGCATTCGGTGATCTCGTTTTCAAAGCAAAAGCGATTCAGCCGAAACGAAAACAGAGCTTTGAAACGTAAAGCCGCGAAGCGAAAGTTAATTGAAATTCGCATGCACAGTCGAACGAAACGAAACCAAACGTTGATTCCCATTTGCTGAGAAACGGAGCACACAGAGACAGTCGCATGCACCGGACGTTGAAATTGTTTTGTTCACCTTCCAATTCTTCGTACTTCGAGGCAGAGCTGGCAGCGTACGCGGCTCCTGACGCGAAGTTTTTCAGGGAGTTGAAAAATCCGCTCATTCTCCAATTAGGAACGCCTCTCTTTCTTCTTCATCGTCACTTTCACCTCAGCCGCCTCTTGTTGTACGCAGTGCAGCCGCCTTTCAGCCGTTTTCGTGATTCATGATCCGTCGACCTTCCGCTTATTTCCTCGGGATCATGTTCGCTAGTCGCGCTCTGCGAACCTTCTGTCGTGCGAGATGCATTTTTATCACGTGTCTGAAATCCCGATGGCAACGTTTACCTCGCGCAAAACCTTCTCTAAAAATAACATTTGTCGGCGTTACGCGCATTCGATCTCGAGGGAAGTTTCTCCTCGATAACGCTGCGGTCGACGCTGATACGTCATGGTTGTCGACCAGTTTGAAAAGTTGATACACCGTGAGTTATGAGCAGAACATCTAGCCGTTATTATCCAACACACACGTATCGTATACGATAGCGTTCGAGTACTATATATGAAAATCGAACGAAGAAATTCCTTTAGTTACGGTTACGAATATGCATGTGTATTGATAAAATAATGGGTAACCATATATGTACCGAGAGGAGCCGATTATTAACATATGTGCCTTTTGCTTATTCAAATGGTCGATATACATAAAGCTTAGGTATTGTAGAGAACAAACGAACTTAAATAGCTACTCCACTGTTAAAAACAACGAAGGAATTATTAATTTCTTAAAAGCGTATCAAGGAATCAGGAAGCTCAGCTTGAAAACATTAATTTTTAGAAAGCACGAGCAATTTTCTAAATCGGGATCCTGGTGACAAACGAAAACGCGTTCCCAGCGTGGTTTTTGTTAATCGCGTCTACATGAAGTATACCACCTGTTACAAAGCGTTTAATGCGGACGTACCACTGATACGTAATGCACGCGCTCAATTCTACGAAGAAGTTGGTGATACTGGGACAAATCGATTGGTTATCAGTGTTTCAATTGAAAGCATGTGACGCACGGAGCATAACGTATACATTGGAAATCTCTGGTCTTCCGATGGGACGAAAATTTTTAGTATAATATAAATCATTTGGCGTCGATGAAAAGTTAACAGATTCGAATATCACTGTCGAAGATAAAAGAGGTTTGTTCTTAGACTGCGTTGGCAATAAAAAGAACAAGTTTACCACGTAACTATTTTCAATATAAATTTCTTCTAAAATAAAGTGAAGACATTTTTAATAATGCTCAAAGTATTACAGAGTTAACGATAAAAATAACAAAAGGTCATTTAAAAAGGTTGTTAAATATCTTCTAGATTTGTCCGAAAAAACTTAGAGAATGGTCTAAAAGGCTGCATATGGTTGCTACGCACCCCACGAACACGTACACGAACACAAGCACGAACCAACATCAACGCGAGCACGTACACGTTCACTACGAATCGCAGCTTGAAACGAGGCATTAACATCGGTCGAACTGGTGTATCGAACGTTTTGGTTTATCTAATCCTATTCAGCCGTTGAATACACATCGATTTCTCCGCTCTTTGAAGGCCTACTTATTTCTTGGCCAAGGAAAAGGATGTCCCCCCTCCTCTACCGAATAGAACGTTCCAAGCAAAGAGAAGCAAAAGAACTTAACGAAACTTTCAACATTCTCTTTCCCTTCGTCCTGTGTTCGCGTGTACTCGAAGCTGCACAGGTACGAGAACGATCATTGTCGTTCGATAAATCAACGTGCTTCGACGCGGTCAAGGAAGCTACCAAAACACATCCCCGCGAGACTGCTCCAGGGACGTCTTACCATTGTCAGTGCGCGAATCAACGTCGTGAACGTGAAGTGGACGGCTTGTCCTCGGGAAAACCGCACGTCGTATTACGCATCTGGCCTCGTGTCACTGAGCACACACGTTCCTCGAACACTCACCAGAAGCACATCCCCGTAGTGCACCCCTCCGACACTAACGCGTACTGGTTCACCCTCTTGTGTACGTGAGAGAGAGAGAGAGAGAGAGAGAGAGAGAAATCGTTGGAATTTACACGACGCACTGTAACGACAATACACACGACGTGATGTTTCACTTTTTGGTTCAGACCAAACTTCCTTTTTTATGGACAATTGTACTGAGCGAGAGTACACAATCAGGACGACGACAACGACGTGGTCGTAGACGAATACGTCGAGTTAGCTTAACGACCACTACGCCGGCGGAAGCACAGAGATGCGCGCGCGCGCGTACGTCCGCCGTGAAAATAACTATGGTGCCTGGCGTGTATGGGAGGGGTAGTTGTCTCGTGGAACCCTGCAATAGGCACACTGAAGCCGTTTCACGAACCGTTCGCTGTGGCAGCCTTAGCGATCAAGCCACTCCCGTTAGATCGCATGCGCTAACGCCCCCGCACCACCCCACTGGTGAGGAATTTATATCTGTGGGGGTGCTCGCGTGCGCCAACGTCTTCGCGGCCAACGGGAACGCCGTGACCGCTCCGTAGGGGTGGCTCGAATTCGGTTATTCGACGACGTTGCCGCGATTATTCCCGTTCTGTCCTGCTGCTATCTTTCGTTTCCACGAATACTTCGGGGCACACTTTCTCTTCGTTGTTGGACGAGTGCTGCGATTGAATAATTGGAGGAGCTCTTCCATTATCTTTCTTTTTCTTCTTTTTGTACTTTGCTTGAGAGTTCTTTTGTTAGGGAAATGGGTATCCTTAAATAGAGTTACCCTTGTCGTCGTAAGAAATTATTGCAGTTTTTTCAATGACTTTTGTTATCTTTGTACGTTGCTTCTCGTTATTGTGTTCGTTTGAAGGTAGTTTTTAAGTTTTCAGTTATTTTTATTGCAATGTTCCGTCATAAATGAGTATTTCCATAGCGTACGCGATAGTAGAAGTAAGAGATTTTATCACCACGTCATATCGCGGTGCAGCAGTCGATTTTAATCCGCGTACACAACAAAGCCATGTTCCTTCGATCGATGAACTTATCGACTCGGTCCTTTATGGGTCAGTCGGAAATGTCGTCAGAGTCAGTAGCAACACGACGAAGAGACTAAGGCCATCAGATACATTCGTGGATATAGTGTCTATCTCGACGATCCTCTTGAGTATAAAATAAAGCTCTCAAGATAAAAACTGAAA